AGCGTTTGAACTCTCTCCTCATCTGAAGTCAACATGCGGCCCAACGAAAATGGGTCTTAGTCCATTGCCTCTGCTTCTTCTTCTGAATTGTCAAGAGAGCAAAATGTCCAGGAATTCAGTAGCATGAAAGTCTGGGGCAGAGGTGAGGGAATGGTTTAGGAGTTCAGGAGTAGAGTCAATGCCGGCTTTTGGAAGCAGGCCGGTGTTGATGCCCGGAGGAGTGAGAAGGCACTGTCAGGACCCAGCCTAGTGGTAGCTGAGATAATGGACTCCAGGAGCGTAGGCAACACACTTATTCTCAGCAGTAGTAACCTTGTTTGTTGTTCAGTGGATATGGGTCTACTCTTACACATGTACTTCAGGAGGGTTTTTTCCTTCTTTCCTAAATGTTTAAAACTACAAACCAAGGTGTGGAGCTCCAGATATTTGAATGTGTGAGTTTCAAACATCTGGAAATATACATACTAAAATAAATGCAGCTGTGTTTATTTCAATGATTACACATTCAAACACATACAATATATTTACTTAGATGTGTGATCCCATATCCATGCGAGAACATTCAAACACATGCATTCAGTGTAGTGATATGAATGTGCAATTGAAAAATCATTCAAGGAAACACATTCACCACTTTTACTTACATCTCAGGGCATTTATTCAAATAATGTATTTATTAATATACAATCATGGCTCTTTTTCTAATTCTAAAACCAGTAAAACTGAAATACCCAGAAAGATTAATGAAAGTTATAGTGGAGAATTCAAGTTAGAAAAGTTAAAAAAAAATCCCACAGTTGTGAATTTCACAGTTAGCCAACGTTTGATGGCAGTCCCATTGTGGGAGAACTCCAGTAATTCATCTTGTAGGAATATCTCAAACTTTGTTATCTTCCTAGAACAAGGGAATGAAAACATTTGCAAGTGGGAAGTTCTTTCCTTCAGGAAGTTATTGGTCTAATAATGATTGCTATTTTAGGTTGTCCTCAGAGTGCTTGTTTAGCTTATTGCACAGTGCTGCTTTTAAAAAAGAAAAACAAAACAAAACAAACAAAAAAACCAAACCTGCTCCAATAATTGTAACCAAACTTGGCCTGGATATTGTGTCAAAATTCTGAGTCAAAACTGGAAAGACTTTAATAGCTGCTTCTCATATCTTTGAGTTTAGCCCCCCATGAATAAGAAATATGAGAGAAAGCATAGTTTGGTATTTAGGGCACTAAACTAATCTTAAAATTGTTTTTTAACAAATGATAATGATGATTTTCATGCTGTAGAATGGACTTCTGCAGTATGAAGGGATAAGATTAATCACCAGAACTAAATGAAGAAAGGATTGCAACAATGAAGAGCACAGAGGTCAGGAAATAGTAGGGATTGTCTTTTAGCTTTTTTTGTGTCCTTGGTGCTTAGCACAGTGCCTGGAACATAGCAGACACTTAACAAATACTAATTTGAAGCTATCGGAAACAATTAATTTTGGGGTTTGGGGGCTGGGGGTGGGGGGAGAGCTTGATCATTTTCCTGGAATCAGTTCTGAGCTCTGAATGTGAACATCACTTTGAGTCATCTCTGAGTCATCAGTAGGGGCCTGCCAGGGCCATTCTACCGTTGCCACCCCTGCTACTGTGGGGCTCATACCACCGTGAGGCTATTGCAATCGGTAAGACATCAGGATTGAGATTCCGTGAGAAGTGAACAGATGGAGAACATACTTCTCACTTGCCTTCATCAGCATAGATTCTTCCAAAAACAAAAACTGGCACTTTACCTGGACTCAGTTCCCCATGGTTAGCAAACTGTCACTCCCTCTTACATTCTCCACATCTCTGTCATCAGAATCCCAAGCTACTTGAAAAGAAAACAGCCCTCTTCAGCTGCTGGCAGCTACCTCATTTTCCTTCACCTCAACACTATCCCCACAATATGCCACTCCAGATTTGCCTACCCATTCCAATGTGTTTCTGGAACTTCCATAGTTGTATAGTTGCTCTCTAGTTAATAATTAAGAAACTTCTTCTCATTTACCACATTATATTTGTATCATATTTATTTTGATGAAGATTTTATGTTCAAATTAGGCTAGAATTAGGACCAGGAATGTGTCTAATACATAGTAGGTTTAAAATGCCTATTTATTGAATAAATGAACAAATGCACTTAATCTTACAGATAAAATAAACTTCATTTGTTAAATTTCATCTGATACCTAAAATTTGTTGCAAAACTTATATTTAATAGTAAGTGCTACAATTAGTCAATACTATTGTTACTGTTTAGTCATTTCAGTCAGGACCCCATTTGGGGTTTTCTTGGCAAAGATACTAGAGGGGTTTGCCCTTTCCTTCTCTAGTTCATTTTACAGATGAGGAAATTGAGGCAAATGGGGTTAAGTGACTTGCCCAGGGACACAGAGCTAGTAAGTGCCTGAGGCCAGATTTGAACTCAGGAAGATGAGTCTTCCTGACTCCAGGTCCAGTGCTCTATCCACTGTGCTATATAGCTGCCCCCAATCAATATCATTAATGTACATATTTGTAAAAATATGGAGTATATGTAAAGAGATTTCTGTTTTAAAAGCCAAGAGAGGCATAAAGGCCTGGTGGAAATCATACTAGGTTGGAAGTCAGGAAACCTGGGTTTCAGTTCTGACTCTGCTACTTACAATCTTGGTTACCTTAGGCAAGTCAATGACCCTCTTTGAGTCTCAGTTTCCTCATCAGCAAAAGAAGGCAAATAGACTGAAATTGCCAAAAGTGTCTAATTCTGTGATTAAGACTTTGTCTGGTGTATGTTACTGTTTTCTGTATCCGAGTGAAAAAGGAAAGGGTTATACCAAACTACTACGCAAATCATGAGGGGAAAGATTTAGGAATTGTGCCCCATAGCAAGGAGGGCCTGGAGCTCGGTTCCTTAGATTTATCTAAACTCCATTAGATTGTTAGAACGTTGGATCCATTTTTGGCAGCTGCTTCTCAGGTTGAGTTAGATTGGGTCACAGATAACCACAGGGAAATAGCCACTAGTGTACTAAGAAACAGTGTCATTAGTTAATCACCTTGTTATTTACCATCCCATTATGCTTTTTAACTTGAATTAATCAATATTATTGACACTGTGGTATGTACATAAGTGGGACAGATTTAGCATGGGATGGATCAACTGTATGCCTCTCAAAGCTTTCTTGAGTCCTATGTATTTTGTGAATGCATTATTCTGACATTTTAAAGGCATTTAATGTTTGTTGAAATTTGTTGGGAAAGTGTATATCCTAAAACTCAGTGAACCCTGTCCTGTGAGATATGTATAGCTGAAGATAGGAATAGATATGAGTGTCACCCTTAGTTGGAACCCACGCTTATGTGAGGATAAAACAGAGAAATGGAGATGCTTTCCCAGGATTCCATTAGAATGACATCATGGAACCAGGAACTTTTTATGGGATAATTTTAGGGTCATTAGAATTTGCAAGGACTAAGAAAAATTCTCCACTCAAAACTTTCATTATTTGGATACCCTGGTTTCAGGAATCCACTGGAGGAAAATTAGCATTTAGGGAAAAAAAAGTGTTGTTTTCTTTTCAGACTGTAATTAGAAATTATTTTCTGGTATGCTCCCTTTACTAGTCAGAGCAGTTTCTTTGAGATGATTTAAGTTTGTTTGAACACTTACTAATATCTGGGGTATTACTGTACTGAATAATCAAGATCAAGCAAAAATTTAGTTACATGTACCTTACAAAGTTCTTTTTAAAATTTTTAAAAAATTTTAAGCAGACCTAGAGTACTTGCCTTATGTGTATCCTTATTTAAGTTCTGCAAAGTACTCTGCATATATTATGTCATTTGATCTTCATAACTGTCCTGTTAGGTAAGCACTACAGGGATTATCCCCTTTTCACAATGCCTGGACTGGAGTCACACAGCAAGTTAAATGTCTGAGGTTGGATTTGAAACTAGCTGTTCCTGATACCAAGTACAGTACTCCAGAAGCACTATGCTGGACTGCCTCTCTAGACGATTTTTAAGATCTCTAGATCTAACTCCTATTCTCCTACTCTTCTGTTATTACACCTCAGAGATAACCTTGTCCAATCTCTTCATTTTACAGAAGGAAAGTGGGATTCAAGAGAGGTGGAGTGACCAAGATCATACAGGTAGTAAGCAGCAGGACAGGGATTTGAATTTAGCCTGCTGATTCCAGTGATTTTATTTTTTATCTATCTATTCACCTTACTGGAGGCAGAAACCGGTTTTAAAAACCAACTGATTGCCAACCTGGGGAAAAAAAAAAGAGACGTACATAAGGAGAACTTCTCTCAGGATTGGAATCCCGACACTGCCGCTATTTGGCTTGGTTCCAGTGACTACATCTCTCTAGTCCTCAGTTTCTTCATTTGCAAAATAAGGGGTGTTAGACTAGAAATCAGAGTTTTTAACCTGGGATCGCTGAACTTTAAAAAAATGTACATATAATAAAAGCAATACAAAATTTATACTTTACATTATATATTTAGGTACAAATTATGTAAAATGTGCATGTAAGTGATAAATGTGTGCGTATGCTTATATATGTGTGTGTGCGTACACACACTTTTTTTTTAAAGTTCAGGGACCTCAGGTTAAAGACCCTGATTTCCAGTCCACCCCTCCCCCATATATCCATGATGACTTTATTTAATATGATTTTCTTTTTGTAATCTTATGTATTTTATGCATTTAAAAAACAGTACTCTGAAACAGGGTTCATGGGCTTCACCAGAGAGGTTCATGACCCAGAAAAGGCTAAAACCCCTTGAGCTAGAACCATGTCTAGGTCCTTTTCCATCTTTTAACACCCCATGAAGCTAAGAGATGGAAATTTACATTACCTTCTAAGATTGAAAGACAGCGAATGATAAAACGACCAATCAGAGAGATGGCCGACAGTTGCTTCCACTCACCCCATACCTCTCAGGCTTTAGGGCTGACCCCTTGTGGCCAATCAGACATCGGGGCCCATGGTTTGTTCCGCCCCCTGTAGCCAGAGTGACAGCACGGAGGAGGGATACGTCTGCCAACTGCCGGATTTCCCAAGTTTGCCTGCCCTTGCCTAGGTGCGAGCTGAGGTGTGTGAGTGTCGGGGATCAGCGGGATTGGGGAGGCCCTGGCCTGGACGACCCCCGCCATCCCGGGTCTGAAAACAGGAGCCCCGTGTCGTAGGAGGCGCGGGAAGGAAGGTGGGGAGCATTTAAAGACGCTGGGAAAGGAAATTGGGAGTGGATGGAGGGGTTGGGGGGGCGTTGTCACTTTGTGAGAACAGCGAGACCTCGCGGTTGCTAGGGAATGCGTCCTCCCTCCCTTCCCATCTCCTACTTCTCCCCCTCCCTCCTTGCCAGCGTGTCTCACTTCGCTGGGCGGGTTCCGTACAGTGTATGGGGAGCCAGGAGCCCCGCCTTCTTTTCCTGGCTTGCTGTGGCTCGGGGTTGGCTCACTCAGGCTGTCAGTCACATCCTGGGGGAGATTTATTTACCTTTCCTCTCTCCTTTTTGTGATCTTTTTGGTACTACGTGACCTAATAATGTTCTTGTCTCACATCTCTCCAAAGAGAGAGAAAGAAAGACGATGAGATAGAGACAGACAGACAGACACAGATAGACCAATCAGGAAAACAGAGCAAGGCCGGGGGGTGTATTTCTTTAGGGTATCGTGTTCTTGTGTCCACAAAACCTGCCAAGAGGAGGGGAGTATGTGGCAGGGTTAGGAGATCCCCCTTGCCCTCCTCAGATGCCATGCAATCTTTTCCTCCTCCCCCAAATCACTGCAGGAGTGACCCAGAAACAATCAATCAATCAACATTTTTAAAGCATCCACTATATACCAGGCACTGTCCAAAGCAAAGCGCTGGAAATACAAAATGAGGCAAAAGACAGCTCCTGCCCTCAAGGAACTTACAATCTAATGGGCAGGGAGAGACAACAAAGATATATACAAAGCAGGTTTATACAGGGTTAATAGGAAAATTCGAGAGATGTTCTTGAAATAGGAGGTTACTTGGTATTGAGGTGGGGGGGCGCGGGAATCTGAAGTAGCAATGGGGAGTAAGGAGTGTTCCAACTCCCCCTCCTTGGCTGGAGGGGAATGAATGATGGGGCAGCAAATACAGGAAACTGTGGCCAGAGAGTCTGTATCATGTGCAATTGTTGAAATTTAGGGGTGCGGGACTCCAAAATCACAACACATAGTCCTGCGGAAGGAATTCTACCCAAGCCTTCTTTCAGCCAAAGACAAGTATATTAGAACATCAGTCATATTGGGAGACTCTTAAGGAATCTGAACATTACTGAGCTATTGGCTAGATTGTAAGAATCTGAGCAACTTAATGGAGTAAAGGTGGACCATATATACGGAAAGACTGTGGGAGTGACCAAGTAGTTTGGGGTGACTGTTGGAGGGGGTCTAAGGAGATTTGGATGGGAACATCTGGGACCTGGACCACGTGGCCAAGGGAGAATGGAGATTAAAGGTGGGAGGTGGCCTGGGCTTTAGGGAGGTAAAACAATGGAGGGCTATGCTAGGTTAAAGGTAACAGAATTGGGAGATTGGGTTTAGATGATAACAAAAAGTCAGTTGATGGGATTATGGCCTCAGGCAAAATCCAGAGATTTGGCCTTGTGGGAAAGTCCAGGGTTTTTCCTTTCTGAGGTTCAGATCCCAACCCCATCAGGGTGAGCCAGATTTCTGTAATAGCTAGTAAATGGAAGGAGTGGGGAGAGGTAAAGATTTAAGATGAAGGACGTTTGATGCCTATGGAAAAGGCATTCCAGAGAAATTCCCCTCCAGTCCCCAATTCAAAATGCAGGGGAAGTAGGTTTATCCCCTTCTTGACACATTCCTGTTCTTATTATCAATCAGTCAGCTACCACCTATATCTCCGTAACTATCCCAAAGGACTATTTTTCTTTGCTCACATTTCTGTACTCCAAATGACTTAGTCTTAAATGTGGAAGAAAAATTAGATTCTGGTCAACCCTCTTAGTTTACACAGGAAATTGGACGACTAGGAAATTAAAGTGAATTGTCCAAGGTCCTAGAGGGAGTTAGTATAGCCTGGATGAAAATAAATGTCTCCTAATATTTAGTTCAATGCCATTAAAGAACAAAAGTAACAAAAAAAGGCCCTCCAAACTGCATCACTATAGAGAACTTTCTGGGATAAAATTACCAATTCAGATCAACACCTCTGAAATTTATAGAATTCCAGAACAGCCTGGAGATCTGAATGTAAGAGAGTTGTTTGGGAGACACTCAAAAGGTTCAATGGATTGCCTGAATTCATGCAGTTAGGATGTGGCAAAGGCTAGATTTGAATCCTGGCATTCCTGAATTGAATCTGAGGACAGATCTTTATCCATTATGCTAGGTTGCACCTCAGGGTAGTGTCTGAGCTTAATAAGCAGCTTAAGACAGGACTGTTGACTTTATTTCCATTTCAGTCCAGTGTTTATTCTCCTTAATGAAAGCACCTTTCGTTCCCTTAATTCCTAATCTCCATCATACCCTCTACTCATTATGATGTCTCTAATTTAGGAGCAGCTACTCCTTCCAATAGAAATCTCCACCTCTGCTCTTCATTGCTGGTGCAGTATGGCTGCAACTTGTCCCTGACTTTCATATCCTTGAGGGCTGGGGAGAAAAGAAATTTAATTTGGTGGATCCCTTTCTTGGATTCTTTTTCTGGGTTAGCCAACCTCTGATCTTTCCTTAAGGTGCTGAGCTAGATAGCCTGCTTTATTTGGTTGCTGGGTTACTGGGGGTCAAGCAGTCAGACGCAGCACTGCTTTGAGAATCTGTCCTATACACATTCTAAGGTTCTAGACTATTTGCTTTTCTCACATGAAAAGAGAAATGCTTGGACTTCCTTATGGAATCAACATTTTTTCTTTTTCTGGGTGCAAGTATAAGCCTCACTTAAATGTATGTTATCTCCCTAAAATGAAATTTCTTTGAAAGGAAATATATGTGTGTGTGTGTGTGTGTGTATATGTATATTACACACACACACAAACATACATACATACGGCCATTGAAAAATAACTTAAGACCACACTTTCAGTTTTATGTTCTTTATTGGTGGAAAGATGTGATTATTGGACCATTTCCAGTGATCTTTAGCAGGTCTTTAACACATGAGGAAAAAAAAAGGAAGAGGTATAGCTGCTGGTTTGGAGAAGAGAAAATGTTTTCATGGGGTTTTTTGTTTGTTTGTTTTAGTTTTTTTTGTTTTGTTTTGTTTTGTTTTTTTAAGGAAACAGAATGGAGTCTGGAAACTAAGTGCCTGTGAACTTGACTTCAATTTTGGGAAATTTTTTTTTCTTTTTAATTTTTTTCTTTCTTTTTTTTAGGGAAAATTTCAAGCAAGTATTACTAAAGAGATTTTTAGTGAGCACCGAGAAAAAGAAGCAGACTGGGTCGTAGGGCTAGTATCTCTTCATCAACAGGTATAACAGATGAACATATTTCCTTTTTAGACAGATTTTTAAAACTATAGATCCTAGAAATGTTGGTCTAAATCCAGGTTACTTAGATTTTATGAAAGCATTTGATAATGTTTTCCAAACTAGAAAAGTTAGGTAAGGAACAGATGACACTGCAGTCCAAATGGAACTGGTTGACTGACTAGACTTAAAGAGTAGTCATTAATGGTTTTGATATCAGTTTAGTAGTTTAGAAGACTATCTGCATTATAGTCTCTATTTAACATTTGGCCTGGTCCTTTACTTAGCATCATTTCAGTGGCTTAGGATAAAAGCTTTATAACCATGACCGCCATTGATTAGTGTTTTAAATTTTGCAGATGATCCAAAGTTGAGAGGGATGGCTGACTTGGTGAATGACAAGTCAGGATCCAAAAAGATCTTGATTTGCTAGCATATTGGTCCAGGGCCTCTAGGTGAAATTTAATAGTGATAAATGCTTTCTACTTGGTTTCAAAAAATTACTATCCTAAGTACAGGGTGGGGGAAACATAGTTAGATATCAGTTCGTCTCAGAATGATCTGGGGCCCATAGTATACTGTGAATTAACACTGATGGAAAATTCAAAAAATATAATCTTAAGCTTCATACAGTCAATCAATTAACAGGTATTTATTAAGCAACTGCTATGTTTCAGGCACTGTGCTAGGTTCCAAGGATACAAAAAATAAAGTTTATATATGTATATGTATATATATATATGTATGTGTGTGTGTGTACATATATATATGTGTACATATATATATGTGTGTATATATATATACATATACACACGCACATATATGTATATATATACACATACATATTTATGTATATATGTATGTATATATATGTATGGGTATACACACACACACACACACACACACACACAAAATGTAGGTAACAAGATGATTTTAAGGTGAGGAGAGGCACTAGCAGCTTAGGAAGATCAGGAAAATGCTCTGAGTGGCTCTGAGTACATGAAGGTGAGGAGGGAGTATGTTCAAGTTTTGGGAACAGTGTTGGTTGACCCTGCTTGGGGGAGTATCCAGTAATGTTAAGATGTTTCTTATTTTGTCTCTGGATTGCTGGTAGTTAGATGGAGTTTTCCATCAGTTTTTGTCCAGTGAATATCTCTCAGGAGCTTGATTTGTGCAAGACACTTTGTGGGACACAAAAATGAATGTCATACAAGCTCTGGACTTCAGTTTTCTTATTTATAAAATTAAAGGTTGGGACTTAATCATTTCTGAGGTCCCTCAAAGCTTTAAAATGCTGTGATTCTAAAACCCAATCTATTTCCTTGAGGAACACTTGGCTTCAATTACAGTTATTTATGTACTTCTTTTTCTTTAGGTTTAAGGTCAAATGGCATTTTCCCAAGCTTTGCTGTATTCCTATAGTTTCCTTAGGATTGCAAATTTAGAGCTGTAAGGGACCTTAGAATCTTCTCCTTTTCTAGAAGAGGAAATTGAGGTCCACTGAGAATAAAGAACTTGTCCTATGGCACACAGGAAGTAAATAGTAGGGAGTCAGGATTTGAAACCAAGGCCTCCGGTTTGGTATTTCACACTCACCACTGTAGCACATTGTTAGAGTTACCGAGGAATCCAGATTCCAAGTAGCATCTACTTTGATATATGGTCACTGTCTTTCATATTTTCAATTAGCTACATGTAATAAGGCAATAATAACGGAGGTTTTAAATTTCTCAGTGTGATTACACCTTTTTCTAAAAATAGTAATTAGAATCAAACTCTGCTATTATAATTCAGATAAGAACTATGCTGGACTTGCAATTTTATCATTATCATCATCATTGTGTACTCTTTAATTGACATATGGCTTGTTTATGGGGTCTCAATAGCCACTTCAGCCATGACCCAGGCTGGCACTGTGAACAACTACCCCTCTACCCCCCCCCATACATACAGGGAGAAAAAAACCTAAGGGCAAGATGCCATATATCTCTTTCAGCCTTTCTTGCTTCTATCCTGCACCCACTTTTCACAAATCCAGTAATGCACTACTTCCAAAACCTTTCTGCTGATTCTTGCCCACCTCCTCTATCATCACTTTGCTCTCTTCCTACTAAAGCCAGCCTTAACCATCTATCTCTATGTACAAATGGTTTTTACTACTTCCTGGCACCAGTAAATGCCCCATAGAGTTGCAATCAATCATTTCTCACTTCAGTTGTTCCCACTTTGGTGAGAGAGCTATGGAGGGAACGTTTCCTCTGGCACTTCAAACAGTAGAACCTTGCCAATCCCTCCATCTCTGAGCTTTACAATGTCTTCTGGCTGAATATGTTACCTTGTTTGGGTTTATATTAGCATAGATTTAAAGCTGGAAAAAATTTTAAGGAAAATCTAGTCCAACCACTTCATTATTTTGTATAAGAAGATTCTGTGGCCTGGAGATGGTAAGTGACTTACAGAAGATCACACAGATAGGGAGTAGCAGAGGTGGAATTCAGATTCAGGTCGTCTGACTCCAAGCATGGTGCTACTTCCACTATAGCATGCTGCCTCAGACATAGGGACTGAACTAAGAAAATTCTGCGCATAACTTCTGGTTGTCTTTCACTAGGTTAATTCACTAGGTTTTAGGGTTCATAAAAATAGAATTACATACAACTGTTACCTTTTCATCAACATTATAGAACTGAAAAGATTATTTTAAATAGATATTTTTAAGAAACAAGGACGTTTTCATTCCAATTCTGTGCAGAAAAAAGAATTTTTAGCACTTCATCTATGCAAAGCAGAATCCAAGGTACTATGGATTAAAAGACAAAATAAAAGTGATCTTTGTCTTCAGTGAGTTTACATTCTGGTGGGAGATTGAGAGGGAGTATTACAGGTACATGTACACAGATGAGTGTAATAATACAAGGTTATTTGAAGAGGGAGGGAGAGTTTGTGTGTGTGTGTGTGTGTGTGTGTGTGTGTGTGTTGTGTGTGTGTGTTGAGGGTGGAGGAGAGGTTGGCATGACATGGAATGCTTCCCAGAAAGGGTGGCCCCTGATCTGAACTATGAGACATAGCTTTTGCCAAGGCCCTAGAAGAGGAGATAGAATGTCATGTCCAAGGTGGATATGTTCAAGTATACAGTCAGGCAGTCAGTGGTTAGAATTTTGCAGTGAAGAGATGAATTCTTGAATAAAGGTATAGGTATTATTTCGTTAAGAAATTCTGCCCTTTGAGGTCTCTGGGAAGGCAATGAAGAATGGGTACAGAAAAATTTACTTGGTGTAAAAATAAAAGATATCAATATAATTTTATTTTTACAAAATGCTGCTCCCATATATTCCTTTCAGAAGTTTTGACTGTCTCTTTCAGCACTGGAATCAGTAGACACAGGAATTACGTCTTTTTGCTTAGTAGAAGAACATGAATATAGTTTACTAACCTTTAACTAACTAACTATAGTTAATTAATCCACATTCATGTTAGTAAACTATATTAGTTTAGTCTTGATATGTGTCAAGTATAAACATCAAGTGGGGCAAAAAACAGGGGCTATAGGTTACTCAGTAGGTAGTACAGTGTATCGAGTGTTTTTGTGGAGTCCGGAAAACCCGAGTTCTAATATGGCCTTGGACACTTATCAGCTTTGTGACCCTAATCAAATTACTTAATCTTAATCTGCCTCAGTTTCCTCATATATAAAATTGGGTTAATAATAACTAACACCTACTTTACAAGGTTGTTGTGTGAATAAAATGAGATAATATTTGTAAAGTGATTTGCAAACATTTAAAGTGCTGTATAAATGCTAGTTATAATAACAATGATGATGTTTGTCATTGTCCTTGAGAATGTCTGATGCAAGATCCAAATTGTAGAATTCCCTATAATGGTAAATTCCTCTAACTGCTCCTGTGCATAGATGATATTGAAAGAACTACCAAGCTGCAAAACATGACAAAGCTTCTTCAGCCAAGTATACAACCATTCAACAGAGATTGGCCAAATCTTCTACACTACAAAATTAAAATGGAAAAAAAAATCTGCTTTTACCCAGAGTATGACTCAATCCTCATTTATAAAAGGGGGAAAACAATACTGTGGTATGTATCTAGGGGGGTGATTGTGTCAGGATCAATGAGATCAAAAGGCATTTTGCAAAGCTTAAAGTGCTCATGAATGTTAGTTATTACTATTAGTTTCTATGTCTTCCTCCTGAGGGGTGGAAGGGGTTCTCTCCTGATTTTTTTTTTTGCCTACCAAGTTTCTATTACAACTATAGTAAAGTTTTTGATTGTTGTTAAATCCTTTTAATTCCTCGTATTTCTGTAACTCATATATCATTATAACCTTTTGCTTTTTGCTTTTAATTTCTGATTGAGACAAGCTAGAACTTCTGATATACTTCTATTTTTCTGACTCCATTCTGTATGTCACTTTTTTTTTTGCTTTAAAAATTGGGCAATGTGGTCTTCATAATTTCTGCTACATTTATCTGCTTTTATATTATCTGTAATTATTATCTATATTATAATGTAATTATATTATCTGTAATTTTTATTGCAAAGATTTCTTTTTTTATTGTTAACTATATCATGAGAAAATACAAACCATTTTGAAATTAAAGAACAAGAAAGAGGATTGTATAAGTTGCTTCTGCCATGATGACATTTGATGCCTGTCCTTAGGGGTGTTCCTTGACACCACCTTTCTTTTACGAGAGCAGCAACTGCCATATACACTGTTATGTGCATACCTGAAATATTTTTTTATACTTTGTGTCAAATATTGTGGGAGAATGTGTTCAGTGTAGATGGGTGTAACAAATGTCAGCTTTTAAAAAATTCTCTGTTTTTATCTGGTAGTGAGATTTGTGCCTTCAAACTCAAAAAGGACTTTCCAGAATTCCAAAGGATGTCCATCTCCTTTTCAAAATTATTTGAAACATATAGAATTGCTTTTGTCATCCTCTTTGTTATTAGTCAGACTTTCTGGAATTTGTGTTAACTTCA